TCTCTCCCTCTCTCCCTGACACCCATTCTGATTTCCTGCCATATGTCCCCTCCAGGTCCCTTCCTCCAGGCTCCAAGGAAGCACTTTCTGCAGAGAAGGGGCCCCTGCACACCGGCAGGAAGAGGGTCTGCAGTTTGCTTCCTGTCATCCCTGAGATGGGGTGTCTCTGGTTCTCTCCCTGGGTCTGATTTTCATGGTGGAGTAATTCCCCTTTCTCTCCTCTCTACTGCATAGAGCCCTTCCTACACAGATACACACCACACACACGTGCGCACACCCCCCATGTCCGGCCCTCTCTCATCCTGCCCCACCCACCACCAATCATGACCAACAGGGACGGGTGGGTTGTCCCATCCACACCCTGCCCTCTGAGGGCTGGAGCCTCCGGCTGAGAGGCCCTGCCAGTCTGGCGCTAAGCGGGCTGCCTTCGCTGCCCAGCACTGTGGCCTCTGATGCCCTGAGATGCCCACACCCAATCTCTCTGCCCCTCTGCCCGTTTTCTGGCTCAACACCTCTACCAGCGGCGGTGTGCTGAGTGTGGATGAGACTTTGCTGCCTGTTGAATTCCCTGCCCTGAGGGTTGTGCTTGCCCTGGCCTACGGGCTTGTCGGGGCCGTTGGATTTATGGGAAACTTGGTCGTGCCGTGGGTGCTGGGTAACTGTGCTCAGCGAGCCCCTTGCCCACCGTCTGACACTTTTGTCTTCAACCTGGCTCTGGCAGACCTGGGGCTGGCACTCACTCTCCCCTTCTGCAAGATGTTCCTGACGGCCACTGTCTGCAACACCTACGCCAGCGTCTTCCTCATCACGGCGCTGAGTGTTGCCCGATACTGGGTGGTGGCCATGGCTGCAGGACCAGGCACCCCTCTTCCCCTCTTGTGGGCCCACACAGCCACCCTGGCAGTGTGGGTGGCAGCTGCCCTGGTGGCAGTGCCCACGGCAGTCTTTGGGGCAGAGGGGGAGGTGTGGGCCGTGCGTCTCTGCTTGCTGCGCTTCCCCAGCAGGTACTGGCTGGGGGCCTACCAGCTGCAGAGGGTGGTGCTGGCCTTCGTGGTGCCCCTGGGTGTCACCACCGCCAGCTACCTGCTGCTGCTGGCCTTCCCGGGGCAGCGGCAGCGAAGAAGGCAGCGGGATAGCAGGGCCGTAGCCCGCTCCGTCTGCATCCTGTGGCCTCCTCCTTCCTCTGCTGGTTCCCCAGCCACATGACCACTCTCTGGAGTGTCCTAGTGAATTCTGACCTGGTTCCTTGGGACAGCACTTTCTCCGCCGTCCACACCCACGTCTGCCCTGTCACCGTCTGCTTGCACACAGCAACAGCTGCCTCAACCCCGTGCTGTGCTGTCTCCTGCGGCAGGAGTCCCGGCAGGCCCTGGCAGGCCCCTTCAGGGATCTCCGAGCGCGGCTGTGGCCCCAGGACCGGGGTGAAGCAGGGGGCCTTACAGGAGGTAGGCAGGCGGTGAGTGGAGAGAACCCCCAGGAGAGCGGCCCTTCTACCGTGCTCACCAACTTGGGCAAAGGAACACCGGGGTGAAGGTACAAACGGTGCACCCTCTTTCTGGGGTCTGCCAGGGGCAGGATCCTTGCATTCTAGGGAGGGCGGGCCTGTCTGCCAGGCCGACATGCCCCCGGGGAAAGTCTTATCTTCAATTATTCTGGCTGTGGTGGCATGCAGCGGGCGAGGCCCAGGTCAGGGCTGGTAGGACAAAGCTTATGTCCTCCATTTGGAGGTGGGAAAGAAGAGGATCTAAAAATAAACATCTGGCCCTGACCGGTTTGGCTCAGTGGATAGAGCGTCGGCCTAGGGACTGAAGGGTCCCAGGTTCGATTCTGGTCAAGGGCATGTGCCTTGGTTGCAGGCATATCCCCG